GATTTCATCGTTGCATGTTGATTTTAATCTTTTGATCTCCATATTAGCTACTGCCTGCAACTAATTTGTTGCTCAGTGTTTTTCTTTGTTTTGACCTGTGAGGCATTTTCCTCATGGCACACAACTCTGCTGGCAGATTGCATATAATCTCTGCACTTTTTTCTCCCATATTTTGCATAGTTACAACAAATGCAGATTTACAACTTGAAATGGAATATGCATCTTTTAGAAAGGCTGAGGAAAATATCACTTCAGGTTTAGCTCAAGAGCCTAAATGTGCTTGAATAAAGGAAATAAGGCTGAACACAGCTCACCGGAGAGAGGTGTCACGCAGGCTTTTTAGTCCACCAAGTTCAGGATGGGTGGCTACTGCAATAATTGTAACTTATATGCAGTCAGGGATCAAAGAGTTTCTGAAAGCATTGCTAGACCTAAGATGAATAAGGCTGGCTTAAGGGACTCTCCTGGCTGGACTCAGCTTGAGGCAGCGGTGGCTCTGTTGCATCGTGACACCACGGAGCAGGTTTTGAACAAACGTTGGTGACGGTGGCGGTAGTGCAGAGTTGTGGACTTCACAGACAAAAGTGCAGAGGTTGAAATATGGCTCAGCTGTGGTTTGGTTTGCCATTAGATGAGTGCTTTTGATGGTTTAACCCGTGCTAATTTATCAGGCGCTTTGTTTCCTTTAGCTGTTTCTTTTAAAGCTTAAGAGAAGTAATTTTTGCCTTAGGTTTGCTGTGACTTTTTTAAAAAGAACACAGCCTAAACATTGACAAAATCATCTTTGCTTTGCTGCGTGCCTGTTTATACTTCTGAACATAAATTGTCTTCTAATATTTTTGACGTTTTGGTCACTAGAGAGGCAGAAAAGCAATTTCTAAGATGCCTATGGGCCGGGAGACATGCATTACAGCAGAGGGGGAAGAATCTGTTAGTTGCTGAAATATAAAACAAATTGGATGAACAGCTGCTGACACTTGTCAGTCAAATAGTTGATAGCATTTTCAGTCTCCATGCCACATGCTTTAAGTAAGTCTGTCAAAAAAAAGGATATTTTCGCTGGACTTCCCTGTAAATATGAGAGAAGTTTTGGCCTGATCTACCATTTAAAATTTTGCTGGCAGAAGAACGAAATTTTCCTCTTTCCCCAAAGCTGATTGACATAACTGTACTGGCAGATTCTTAATCTAGGTGCAGTTGTACTGGCAGAAAGTCCTTTGACTGCTGGAGCTCGTTCCATCACAGCAATGGGTTGAAGCGAAACCAGCAGCAGACCTTCGCGTTCCTTGGCTGGGTTCGCCAGGGTGCTCCCATCCGTCAGCAAGCCCTTTTACGTGCTGCCCGAGGTGTAGCCTTGCTCCGTGCGAGCCTGCGTCCTGTCCAAAGTGTAGTCTGTGGCCAGGAGGGCTTTAAACCCGGATTGATGTTTCTCAGACAAAAGCAAACTATTTTGGATTCAACATTTCTGCAGGATTAATCCAAGCCGGCACTTCCTGCTTCTTGTACCATGGCGTAGCACCCATTTAGGAGATGGCTGGGCTGCCAGCACCCACTTCACCTCCAGGCTCTGGAGTGGGAGGTTAAATCCTGCCTTGCAGTGTTGCTCGTACATGGGCTCTTCTCCCTGCTCACACTAAAGTATGAGACTTGAAGCTCATAATTTGGGTCCAGACTCCTTAAAAGAAGTAAGCTGACTAATGTTTCCTTGTTTTGAATGTGTGGTCAAGCCGGACATATCCTCAGGGTTGTTACAGAGTCTCTGAGGTGCTTTACTAGGGTCTGAGGACATGCAAAAAGCTGTCACAGGCTCTAGGGTCATTGCTAATGACAGAGAAACTCAGACAAGGGTGTCCATCACTGTCATTTCAGGGAGGCACCTATGTGCGTTAGTGATCCG